CCGTAGGCGAGCGGCAAGGAGCCAAAGGGGAAAGAGAGAGGGAGAGGGATAAACGTGACAGAAAACTCGACGAGGGCAGAGCGGAGGTCGGCACGAAGGCACGAGACCTACGAAAGCTAGTCTTCACGCAGACAGCGACAGACTAGTCCCAATGACCAAGTTATACATTAGCACTCGAAGGGAAATACAACACTATGGCCACTCACCTAGTCCCAATGACCAAGAGGTCGAGATGGGGACTAGGGAGCGCCTAAGGGGTCCTTATATACTAGAGGGGCTGCTTAGCAACCAAGGACAAGGCGCAAGAGCGAGGCAGTGAAGATGACAAAGAGAGAACAAAGGGCGAGAAAGAAAAGGCAAGGGCATGGCGATCACGGGAACGTAGTATGCGGTGGTGGGAACGTATCTACAGTGTCCAAACTGGGATGAGCTAGGAAAGGAAACAGTCCGGAAATGGAAGGTGGGCGTCAAAGGGAAGGGAATGGGCGGCAAAAAGGGGCGTCTGTCCAAAGTCCGTGACATTACCCCCCTCCTAAGGTCCGTCGGTCCCCGATGGACCCGAGGCTAGGGCGCCGTCCGGAGGCCCATTCGAGGTCAGAGGGTGCGGCAGTGATGAAGTTGACGAGGGGTTGCCAGGGAAGAGATTGAAAGATGGCAGCTGCGATTCGACGTGGGGCAGTGGGGTTCCGCTCGTGGAATTCGTCGATGAGCTCTTGGCAATGAGTGAGGTCCTTTGCCGGCTCCCAGCTGTTCTGGCCTTCGTCGTAGCCCTTCCACTTGACTAGGTATTGGAACTGATCGCGGTAGGTGCGGCTGTCCTCAATCTTTTCGACTTCGTATTCGAGTTCCCCTTCAACCTCCACGGGTTCTGGTGGGGGTGGGAGTATGCCGTTGACGTCGTTGCCTGTCCAGGGTGTGAGGCGATCGACATGGATGACGGCATGTCGGTTCTGCATAGAGGGGGGGAGTTGAAGTCGATACGTGAGTTCGCCTGTGCGTTCCAAAACCTCGTACGGCCCAAGTCGTCGGGGTCCGAGCTTGCGGCTGGCCTGATGGATGGTGACGTCCCGTGCATCCATCCAGACGCGGTCTCCGGGCTTGAACTCATGGGGCTTTGGCTTGTCGCGCTCAAACAACTCCTTCATGGCGGCCTTCTCCATCCGAAGGGCTACCTCCGCATCCTTTCGCACCTCACGCCACAGTTCTAAGCACTTGTCCAGCTCGGGGAACTTGGTGGGGGCGCCGATGGGTACCGTGAAGTTGGGCTGGTAGCCGTAGATGATCTCGAAGGGGGAGACTTGGAGTCTGGAGTGGACGTGGTTGTTGAGCACAAACTCCGCGGTCGGTAGGTGAGCCACCCAGTCGTCCTGTCGTAGGTTAGAGAAGAGACGTAAGTGCTTCTCAACCTCCTGGTTTGCCCGTTCGGTCTGCCCGTTGGACTGGGGGTGGTAGGTGGTCGTGAGCGCGTGCTGGATCCCAAACTTCTCGTACAAGGCCTTCATGAAACGTGCAGCGAACTGAGGTCCTCGGTCCGACACCACCTTCTCCGGCACTCCGTGGAGGCGGAAGATCTCACGATAGTGGATATCGGCGACTCCCTCTGCAGTGACATTGGTCGTGGTGGGTAGTACGTGGACCTGTTTGCTGTAGTGGTCGCTGTAGACGATGATCACGTCGTATCATTGCACGGGGGGAAGTCCAGTGATGAGATCCACTCCCATCGTCTGCCAGGGACCTTCGGGTACGTCGTGGGGCTGGAGCGTGCCTCGAGGATGCCGAGGGGCCTTTCGGCGCTGGCAAGTGTCGCAACCTTCGACGTACTTACGCACAAACGTGTCTCGCTGTGGCCACCAGTAGAGGCGACTGACCAGCTCTATCGTCCCGTTCCGTCCAGGATGTCCTGCAGTGATCGCGTCATGGCACAAGAAGACGACCTGTTTACGAAGGTCTTTACCAGGGGGAATATAGAGCTTCCCATGCCGATAGATGAGGTCGTCGCGCACTTCCCACTCCAGGAGTCCATTTGCCAGCTTCCGGGGGCCCTTCTCCTTGAGGATGTGGAGAGCCTCAACTACTTCAGGATCGAGTACCTGCGCGTCTCGAATCTCCTGCTCCAGGGTGCTCGTGTCCGTGAGTGTGGCCGACAGAGAGACGAACCGCTCAGGTCCCAGCACAATCTGGTCTCGGTTGTCCTCCGCATCCGTAGTCTGGTGGGTCGGGAGGCGAGAGAGGGGATCGGCTTGGGTGTTCGTCTTACCAGGCTTATGCGTGAGACGGAAGTCGAAGCGGCTGAGGTATAGAGACCATCGAGCCTGTCGACGAGTGAGGTTCCGTGTGGTGTGCCAGTACTCCAGATTACGATGATCCATGACGATCTCAAAGGGTTCGGGGAGCCCTTTGAGGTAGTGTCGCCAGTCCTCGAGAGCACGGATGATCGCTAGCATCTCTCGGTCGTAGATCTCGTAGTTCCGTTCCGCTTCAGCCATTGACTCAGACCGGTAGGCCACCGGGTGCCAGAGGTCGTCGTCCAGCTTCTGCAGTAGCACTCCTCCGGTCGCAAAGCCAGAAGCGTCCACCTCGATCCACGTGGGCCGAGCCGGATCCCAAGAGACCAGCACAGGCTCGCTCGTGAACGCGTCCTTGAGGGCTTGGAAGGCGAGTCGCTGCGCGGTTCCCCAAGTCCAGGGGACGTCCTTCTTGGTCAGGTCGTTGAGCGGTCGCGCGTGCTTGGAGAAGTCCTTGATAAACCGACGGTAGAAGTTGGCGAACCCTAGGAAGCCGCGTAAGTCGCACAGGTTCTTGGGGGCTGGCCACTCGGTGACGGCCTTGACTTTGACCGGGTCCATGGCCACCTCGCCTTCGCGGATGATGAGGCCGAGGTACTCTACCTCCGTCTTCTCAAACTCGCACTTCTCCGGTCGCAGGTAGAGGTCGTGTTCCTGGAGTCGTTTCAGCACCTCGTGGGTTACGGCGCGATGCTCTTCGAGGGTGGTGCTGAAGATGAGGATGTCATCGAGGTAGACAGCAACCTTT